TATTTAGGAACGCTCAACAATGAACCATTCATTATGCACTCATCTCTAGTAAAGAAGGAAATGAAACGAATTGCAAAGAATATGGATCTTTCGGAACCTTCGCCACCCAGTAGTCATAACCAGCTCGCACGACCATCTGGTTCAAGTTACCTTATTGAGCAGGGCACCGTTGGTAAGCAACAATTGCTGTTTTTATCGCGCATCTTGATGAAAGCTTGCAGATGAATTACTCTTCTCCTCTTACAAACGTTCATTCACTGCAAAACAAGCAAGGAATAACAAACAGATTTCTACGCGGCAGACTCGTGAACTCCAAGTTGTGGCGGCGAATGAAGGTATTTCCTATCATTCTTAGCTCAGATTCTTTTCCGATCACTGATTAGATTCAGGAAGGGTGTCTTATCCATCGGTATCCTGCCCTAGCAGCGAGGGGACTGCGCTAATTGGTGAAAAGGATATTCGAAGTGCTGCTTTCGATGGTCCGGGTGGTGGTGAGTGCCATATCTAACTTCAATTTTGAGTCTGTTACCACCATTTGCTAGCGCTTTCGTCAAAATCTCTAGGTACCCGGAAGAGGTTTATGCACATTGCTTGGGCCACATATCCCAGCAGCGATGACTTACACCATGTGCTGAATTGTTTCGCACGCACATGAGTAATGTGTCTTTTTCACTTCTATTCCATAGTGCAATTACTGTATGAGCCTGGTACAATATCCAGCGATGCGAATATCTATACTTTTTCTATCCGGCACCTGATAGACCCGAGCATTGTCTTTATGTCGCTTTCTAGCATTTTGTGTGATAACCACTTTTATAGGCGATCAAGGATGGTTTGTGATGCGACCTTCTGGAAATCCTGCCAAACGGGACCTTTTCAATCTTCTAGATCCTTCGCAATGCAATTCGAACATCGTTGAGCGTTTTAGTAAAACACTACGAGTTGATCACATGGTGTCGGGTTGGTGGTAAGTTTTTATCTAGCTTATTTTCGAGAACTTTCATAGTTTAATGTAGGAGAATCATTGCTTTGGCGATGTTGGGTCTAGTTGGATCCGCATCTGTCGTCCTACATGCTTTATTGAGTCGTCGTAGAAAACGAGATGCCCTTTCATCCTCTCTTCTCTCATCCACAGATTCGTCTATCGTCGTCACTTTGGCAAAGGTTTGTGAAGTTGTAAATCGACTTTCCCAGTTTTGGCCTTGGAAAACTTGAGTTTTCTAGGCCAAGAGAGCAGAAACGCGGTCGACTTCCGTCGGACCTTCGGTAGGAAGCACACCGTCGTCTGAAGAAACACCCACTGGAGAAA